AGCCGCAAGCTGGTACAGAGCCGGATTTTCCATTTTGGCTCTTAAAAAATTTATAATAAATAAAATACGGACTCGCAGCTAAGCAACCCGACAGAGGTCGGTAGTGTTACTCCTGTCGACCCTTAAGGGGATCCTAAAGCCGTCTGTAATATCGGCTTTTTTTCTTAGCACTAATCTTTTAATTGACTTTATAGAAATGCAAAATTCTTGTCTAGAATTAAAGTACGCATCAAAATCTAGGTCATGGTGGTCAAATTTATATCGAAAACAAAAAAAAATTAATATTTTTGTTAATTTTTGGTATACGTAACGACAATATTTGCTTTGTACAAAAATTCCACGATAAATATCCACAAAATTAGAACGGCATGACCTAAGGACAACATTTAAGAACAATATCGTGCAATTAGATCTAAGATTGAAAACCTAGAAAAAAATATTACTTTATATAACTTTTATATGTGCAAAAGCACATTCAGGTTGACAGGATAAGCAATATTGCGTGTGGCAAGAGATGGCGCAGTAATCGAACAAAGACAGATGCCTCTCGTTAGACAAGGACAGATATAGATATATGACAAGAAAACAGAATTAGAAATGTTGACATTACCGACGTCGAGGAAGTTCAGCCTTCACTTTAGGATCCCCTTAAACTCGATGTTTGATCGAAACCGCCGCGGTGACGCCTCGTGACGCTAGCCGTCGCGACCACCAGTGAGAGACAATTGGTTGGCCACGACGCCCGCTCGCGACCAATCAGCGATCGCGTGTCTGGCTACGCCGATCAATCGTGCTCGCGCCACTTTGCGCGGGTAGATCCGCCACTCGCTGACGCGGCGACCATCGACCAATCGGAGCTGAGCGTCGTGTCTCTGCTGCGTGTTTTCGGTATTTATCGTGCTTGCCATGCAAATGGCGGTTGTCGCGGTGTTTTGTGCGATGTGTCTGCGCGATTAACTACGCCACACCGTTAGCAACAGCGTTACGACGAGCGTGAACGTACGACAGAGCGAGCCGGTGCCGTGATAACGGATCACTCGTCATCATGGTGAAATTGTTAAAACGATTTTTCGCCGGTGACAAGGTGTTCGCCAAAGTTCGAGGTTACCCGCCATGGCCAGCCAAGGTGAGTTCGCGTTTGGGATGCTATCGGGACGAGACAGGCATCCCGGTGGCCGCTATGTCGGACGCGGCGGCGTCGTCGCGTCCTCATCCTCGGCGATTCACCGACCGGGACGTTGCATGGTGAGGTGACGTAAATTATTCAGAGATTGCGGCCGAGTAATCGCGTTTGTTGTGCGCGCGACTGCGTCTCGGAGGACCGCGCGGTTCTCGCACGTAGGAAGCGAGAAAAGCGCGGGATCCGCGCGGAACGCGCGACAACACCGGCGATGATCTGGCCAAGTGGCACGTCACCGACCACGCTAATTAACGCGCATCGCTAGTACACTCCTGCCAGGATATATATTCTGTAATTTGCCATGTAATCATATGTATAATTTTTGAGATTAATATCTCCGCGTGGACCGTTAATGTATTCTCCGTGGAGAAACGTATATCTCAATCCTGTTTGTCATATACCAAGTCTGCGTTTCACATTTGGAGCTATTGAAAATAAACGCGCAGGCCAAAGCTCACCGCGTGTTGCTTCATCTGTTTGCATATTGCTTCATTTGTTTGCAGGTCGAAAAAGTCAATGATCCAAACTCCAAGAATGCTAGATATAGCGTTTACTTTTATGGTACAGGAGAAACGTAAGTAATATTATAATCTAGGGACCTATTACGTATCTTTTCACGAGATGAAAATGAGAAAAGTGAACAGATTTACTAGATTTCGATCAATGAAATCGTAGATACTCCAGTGAATTCGCTTACTATTTGCATTTTTACCTCGTGAAGAGATACGTAAGGGCTTATGCACAATGAGAGGAATAAAGAACAAGGAATTAAACATAGAGAGAATTCTGTGTCTTGAAAAAAGAGAGACTCTGCGTCTTGAAAAAAGATGCGACTACTATGTTTAATTCCTTGTTCCTTATTCCTGGCATTGTGCATGAGCCCTAATAGTACCCCTTCCCGTCACCCTCTATAATTCTAGTTTTCCTAATGAATATCATTAAAGGATATTTGATCAAAAATTATCGTGATATTAAATCTTGCAGAGCTGTTTGTAAAGTTGAGGAATTGTACACCTATGCCGAAAATAAAGAAAAATATGGCAAACCTAACCGACGGAAGTTCTTTCATGAAGGCATACAGCAACTTGAACAAGAACTTAAAAATGACAGAAACAAACCTTTAGCAGATATTGCTGCTATTAAAGGTAATTACCGATATTATCTTGTTAATGACTTCATAATAAATAACTATCATGAAGTGTGAATAGATTAAATACAATCTTTTTAATGGAACACAAATCAATTATTATAACTTTGTCTAAAGGTGCTGAAGCAACAGAAGTGCCAGCTGTCAGCGCTATAGACAGTGACCTGGAAACTGGTTCCTTAGTAATAGACGAAGGAGAAAAAAAGAAACCTTTGAAGAGGAAAGTTCTTACAGCTACTTCCAACACTCCGGTAAGGAAAGCTCGTTTTTTGCTATTTGTATGAAAATGCTTTGGAGTATTAACATATACTTTGCAATACTGTTTAAAAGAACAGTTATTGACAAACTTGTACTCCAAGAGGAATTTAGGAACTGCCGACAGACATTTTTAAAGTTTAAATAGTTTGTGCGATTGTTCCTTACACCTTTGTACACATGTCTATATAAATATGTAATGTAATCAAATACATATATTTGCACATATACTGAATACATATAACAATGCAGCAAGATACTCCAGAAGTGAAGAAAAAACGTGGTAGAGGAAAAGCTGCGAATGATACATCGAAACAAGAGGCTGCTTTGGATTCACAAGGCGAGGAATCGCCTAAAGAAGTGGTTAGCCGCAGTGGGCGTAAGATTAAACCAAAACGCTTTGCAGACTTTTCAAGTTCAGATGAAACCGAAACCAATACAGGTAAAAACTTGTATCTATAATAATCTTTTGTTATGGTGTGCAGTTTTCAAAGAATCTATTATTCTGCAATTTTATGGGTAAAAAATATTCAAATAATTATTAAATAACCGACTTTTTTTACTTGCTTTTACTCTTAATTTGATACACCATTATTTCTGTTAATGCATCAGTTAAAGTAATAATCATGTTCCAATTGTGAAATGTAGGTTATTATCGATGTCACAAAATATGCTGTTATTCGTTGCAAAATTTAAAATCAATTACCCTGATAATAACTAATATTTAAAGGTAGGAGCACAGTAAAGAGACTTACATCAATACATATAATGGTGGATGAAGAAACGCAGACTTCACCATCAGAAATATCTGAAAAATATTCAAGGCTTAAGGAATCCAATGAAACTCGGCAAATGTCTACAAAAGAATTAAAAAGATTAGTTCTGTTGGAACAGCTGTCGTTAATTCGCATACAGAAATCTAAATTTTTGTCTGTAAATGTATCTCTCACATAATTTTTTATTAATAAACTCACAATATTTGTTTTTTTGAAAATATTGTTTATCTATTTATGTCCCTACTGTTTTATAATCGTTCCACTGAATTCTCTCTTTCAATTTGGAGAAAAATATAATTTTTTCCCCCGGAAAAAATATACATAGTTATGTTTTATCAAAGCTTATTTGTAAAAAAAAGTCGGTTATTCTTTACATATTTGTGTTTAAGGTAACATAATATGATTGTAAGTTATTTCTGTTTAGAACATTCTGGTCGAGGTCGTAAAGCGAAAAACGAAGATTCTAATGAGCATCAAATAACACCAGTGACGCATAAAAAAAGAGCTGCTATCGAAAGTAGGCATTTGTGTGAATAGCTTTTTTAATTTCTTAAAATTATAACTTGTTTTTGAGAGATATCGTTTATCTAATTTACAGAAAGAAATAACGAAGGTTCGATTCTTGATGGAACCGTAGTATCGAGTGGTACATCTTCTGATACACCAAGCCGAGTTCTCTTAGCTCGTACATTTGCTGGGGAACATGTAGGTATTAAGCTGGATATAGACAGGCCAAAGTCTTTTGAAAGTGAAAAAGCTCGAGCGCAATGGGATTGGTCAACTGCTAGAAATGCTATGAAACTCAAAGCACAATTAGAGGGCGGTGAAATTTTGCCGGAACAAGTGAAGGATTCTCTAGATTTTAATGTACCCGTCCCGGAAGATGAAAAACGACTTTTGACAAAAGATGGGGCCGTTCATCGCAAAACATATAAACTGAGGTATAGAGAAATTTTGTGCCCTTCAACTTACTAGAGTGTTTATTTTAAAATTTACCAAGTGTTTACATGTACAATGTTACAGATGGCTTCGTATAGAGGCTCAACTTCTACAATTAGATGCTCAAATAAAATCTAATCTTGGACTGGATCGAGCCAATACAGATAAATGTTTACAAGCGATGGATGATATCTTGGCTCTTCCAATTGATCCTTTAATGCTGAAGAAACATCCTCATATTGTTGAAACAGTAAAAAGGGTAAGTAATACATCGAATTTTTTAATTATTTTATAATATTGCATTTTCTTCACTAATTGTCTTTTATATTAGCTGCGACGATATATTGGGAATCTAGGAGAGTGGAAATTAAGCGAAGAAGAAGGGGTATGTATAAAACGGGCATGCGTATGTCATTATATTATAACGCTTGTGAAATACATAATACTATTATTTCTATTTTAATATAATACATATAATATTCTTTGTAGACTATTTTTAAACAAAAAGCGGAGCAGATTAGACAAAAAGCTGAGCATATATATAACAAGTATAAGGTAATGTATCACATGTGAAGAACAACGAAAATACAATTATTTAAATCTATTTTTTTGTCATATACTTATCAAATGAAAAATATATAGGCTATGTTTACTATACCTGAGGGTCAGTCATTTTGGCAATCATTTTCGGATCAAGTGGTCCATTTCAAAAAATTGACGAAAGATATGCCTGAAGAGAAAGTATTTTCATTGATGTCCGATCCTGCTTGTTCAGGTAATTTTGTTATACGTATGTTTAATGAATATTGAGAAACTAGATCCTATAAGGCCCAGTTTTACAAACGTCCTCCTTATGCCCATTTCTACCAATGTAGATTAACTGTAATCTTGGTTTAACTTACTTTCTATCTTTTTCTAACTTTTAGAACTAGGAAAAGATGACAGGTAAGTTAAACCAAGATTAAAATTAACCTGCGTTGATAGAAATGGACATTAGAAAGAGACGAAGAGTGAGTTAACCTAAGGTTAAAAGTTAACTGACATTTGTGAAACTGGGCCTAAGTTTTTTTAAAAATTCTTTGAAATAAATTTTAAAAAGCTTAGAAATTATATATTGAAATTAAACAATGTATTTTGTGATACATATTTATTATAAATATTGATAGATACAGGTATATCAGAGGATTTACCTGCAGATGATAGTGGTAATCAACTGGATACAGATACAACGATTGAAGCAGATATAACAGTAGAACAAGAGGCAGAACGTGAACAAATACCGGAAGCGGCAACTGAGCTGGAACCAAAAGCAAATATAGAAACCGAACCAATAGCACAAGCAGAGACAAAAGCAGAGTCAGAACCAATTGCTGAAAGGGACGTAGAAGCAAAAGTGCCTACTAGAAGTGCGAGTCCTAAAGATGAACCAGCCAAGTAACATATGTAAACTTTTTTATCTGATAATGTAAACTTTTACTTATTTTCTTGTACGTACGTTACGGAACTAAAAAAGGAGCATTATTATAGTTGAAGTACATCGAGCGCATTCATAAAACGATATTTTGGCTAATATAATTTTTTTTCCATGTTTAAATGTGGCACAAATTATTGTTTAACGATGTATTCTTACAGATTTACAATAATTTCGGAGAATATGATAAACTTCGGTAAAATGTAACTTATTTGGCGAAACGTAACTAACATGCTATTCTTTATTACACACATCCCTTTATTTATTTTAATCTTATTATTCTAATCTTTACTCACAAGATTAGAATATATGCAATGCTTGCGTATGCAATTATGTAATTAGTGTTAATGAACTTTAACTAGATAACTGATCGTCGATTTCCATTATATATCTATGAGTTTCTTAAGTATATTTATTTTTTTAAATCCACATTATTTAACGAAAGTATAAAACAGAATATAACTCCTACATATATAAGTTATGCAAATAGCTGTTGTTACAATAATACTGGTATTGTTACCGAGTGAAGAAATAAGAATCGTAAAAGTATCTTAAGTTAATTCTGTGAATGCGATCGATAGCACTTTTGCGCACGTGGAAAATAATCTTTTGATTGAGTTCTATTATATTTTATTTCATGAATTTGACCAAATATTTACATTATATCGTCGCGATACACTCACATTATTACTTGATGCAATATCTGCAATCACTAACTGGACAATATCAGGCAAACATTCACTGTCAGTATCGAATAAAAATGGCTGATGTAGTGGATAAAATTAGATGAGACACAGTATCTTTACATGACGGTAAAATAATACTGTTATGTATCGAAATACTATCTTTGTATATTCAGCCAGTGCCATGGAAAAAATTTGTAAAGAGCACATAGACACTGTTATTGTCACACAAAACTTACTTATTTAGTTATTATAATTGATGTTAGCAAAATAAATACCATATTGCATAAGAATTATAGCGCAATGAACGATACAGATATAATTCTTAGTACTTGCATCTCGTTTTTAACGCAAGTTTAATTGTCTTTTGGTTTTTTTTTCATTAGAAACAACATTACTCATACTCATTGCATTTTAAAGGTAAAAATAAAAATATGTATCATTATTGTGTACCAATGTTTCTTTAACAATATTTATGATATAAAATTATGATATGAATATAATTGTTCGTAAAATATTGTCAATCTTCTATTTTATATAATTGAATTATTACTGTCTTTATTAAAAATCTTCTAAAATCGTTGCTATTACAATAAAATTATAAAGTGCTTGTCAAACGATACCGAAATTGTACAAATTAGATAAGTTAACGATTTTCGGACATTATCACATCTTTATCGTGGGCGACATGGCAATTACTGTAAACATTTAATGATTGGTAAGTATTAAACCTTATTTTGTAATTAATAGTACATATCCAATACATTGAAAATATCAGAAATTAACGATGTCATTTTTGTATCGAAATGTTTTTGTCGAAAATTAAAATAAACTAATGTAGCAGAGACGTTCTGGCGTCGAATATATTTTTATCTATAGACTTATGTAGATAGATTGTGCATTCATATGCAACAGCTGACGATAACATTGAAACTGAAGGACAGAAATATATATGCTCAAAAACATGAAAATGAAAGTAAGAAAAAATGATGCATATCTCTTTTTAAAAACGAAAAAGGCGATTGTTTCTCCTTTTTGATTCCTTGGCCCATCAATTACATAATTGAATAAGGAAAACTGTTTCCAGTTTTTTTTTTTTTTTTATTATTAACGTTGATTTCTTACTTTCAATGAAGTCCGCAATCTATTTACATATATAAAATAATTTTATCCTACAATTAAAAAGTGAATTTGTTTTCACAAGAATATATACATATATAAAACAAAGTTATTTTAATTATACTGAATTTAAGTTAAATCATAGTTACAAATATATATTTAATAATCACAGAATAGTTATAATTTTATATCGCATAATGATAAATGCCAGTAATTTGTAATTTTATTAATAAAATTGCACATCGAAAATTATGATTTTTAATATGATAAAACATTTGATTACTTTTATTGTAGTCACATTTTATTTTTACCTCTTACAAAATTAATTATACTATGTAGTCCAAGAACTGACAACGAATTTAGGGAATGTATTTTTGGCAAGTTAAAATAACAAAAAAATAATATTTTATTAATTGGTGAATCTAGAATCCTGAGTCAGGCAGAGAGTTTGCGGTTATTTCGCTACTGCGCAACCTATGACATTTGCAAAAAAATAAATAACAAAAATATCTTTTAGGCAACTTGAAATTTGTTTAATCTTTAATTTTAGCATCTATTTAACCCAGAAATAAAAATCCCAGACTATTTTTTGGGTTTTAAAGTGTAACCTGACCCCCCCGAATATATTTAATAATTATACCTCAAAAATATACTTTAGGCATTCTGAAATTTTTATAGCATGTTTATTAAATAATATTAAAAATACGTGTAAATCGCCAGACGAATTAAACGGTTTTTAATAATTCTCTGACACGAATAAAGATTTAAAATGAATGCGACAAAAAAGTCTTATGCGTAGCCATAAGTGCGAGAGAGATAGTTAAGGACCTAAGATTTATGCATTTAAAAATGC